TCAAGGCACCAATTGTGAACTGTTTCAAGAACCATCAAGACTTGATTTTCACTCTTTCTTCTAGCAATCATCTAATTCTTTACAGTGTTTTATTCCTGTCTCAAGGTAAAACAGTAGGTGTTACAAAACAGCTAGCTTGTTTGCTTTCTACGTCATCCTTAAACGTTGGCAAATGCTATGCAATTTGAAAAAGCGCATGTGTAAACTTTGAAATTCTTTTCACTTGTATGTTTGGAGAAACTTTGTAGCTGAATGGATGTTGAATTCTAAAGGCATGTGATCATTTGTCTCTCTACCCCAATATATTTCTATGGTCGGGTGTGGTGTTTGAATCATGAATAGTTTGTTTGTAGAATGTCTGCATTTAAGTATGATATCAATTTTCATATAAAACCAGAAGTCCATAAAAGATTGTTTACATAACTCATTCTGTGCCACCTTGGCTTAAGGATTTAATTATCTGACAGGGTAAAGAGATATGATCATTGCTTAGGTTTCAGACATGCTAAGCCATGGTTTGCCAAAGAACAGTTGATTCAATCCCATCAAATGGTTCACTGTCTCTTGTAACTTCCTTTTCCAAATCAATCTCTTGGCATATCATTTGCAGTTCTACTTTGGGTACTGTGTCTTGACAGCCAAAATTTCCTCCACATTTGTCATTCCCTCATTATCATTTTTTGGGCATAATCTATCCCTTGATTCAAACATCATTACTGACACTATTGGTCTTGTAGATATTGATTTCTGGCTCAGTTCTTCAAAGATGTTCTTCAATATTTTCAATGTTATGATAGTATAATTTTGTATATCTTAGTTAACCAACACCAAAAGTAGGCTTGTATTTCTTTTTCCTTCTACTTAGAATCTTTAATCTCCTCTAATCTGCAGTTTCTAGAAACATCTACTATGAGCCAAGATAGCTAAAATAATTCTGATTTCCATGAGAATTTATTTATTTTTATAATTCCAAAACCTTATAGTAAAAGTCAATATTCCAATATTTGCAGCAAGATGTATATCTTTAGTATTCCTAATTATTTTTATAAGTCTTTGGCTAGTGTTACATATTAGAAAAATACTAGGTTGCTACTGAAAAACCCCACCCCTCCCCCAATTGTCATAAAACAATAGAACAACCTATCTGAGGTTTTAGCAGTTGTGTGACTAGATAAAGGTATTTTGCAGCCTGAAGTGTAAGTGTTAAAAAACAATCAATATAAAATTTATATGCATATAACTTTACTATGTACTATTAGAACTTAAAGAACAGATGGCCTTAGTACTTGGAATACTGCATCCAATATAAAACAAGATGTTAAGACTCTGCAAAGAGTGCAGAGAAGAGCAATAAGAACGATTAGGGGGCTGGAGGCTAAAACATATGAAGAACGGTTACAGAGATTGGGTATGTCTAGTCTATTGAAAAAGAGACATGAAACAGTGTTCCAATGTTTGAGGGACTCCTACAAAAATGAGAGAGTCAAACTTTTTTCCAAAGCACCAAAGGGCAAGACAAGAAACAGTGGATGGAAGCTAACCAAGGAGAGAAGCAACCTAAAACTAAGGAGAAATTTCCTAATGGTGAGAGCAATCAACCAATGGAATAGCTTGCCTTCAGAATTTGTAGGTGCTCCATCACTGGAGTTTTCAGGAAGAGACTGGACAACTATTTGTCAGAAATGATATAGGGTCTCCTGGTTGAGCAAGGGGTTAGACTTGAAGACCTCCAAAGTCCCTTTCAACTTTATTATTCTATGTTCTATGGTGTCTCCTTCTGTTGATCTCTTCAATGAAAATTGGTCTGTGAGATCTAAGAATCTAACTTTTGGATTTTAGTTTATGATTTTTTTTTGTTTTTCATCTTGCTGGGGGAGGGGGGTAGAACAATTTTTTCAGACCACTTTGAGTCATAACTGAATTTATTTCACATATTTCCAACAGTTTATCTTCAGATCACATAAATATTTCATTTTTTATTAAAGATTCTATTGAATTTGTAACCAAGAATGTCCCTTATCTATTTATTTATTTGTATCCCGCTTTATTGTTTTTACAAATAACTCAAGACGGTGAACATATCCAATACACATTCCTCCTATTTTCCCCACAATAACCCCTGAGAGCTGAGGGAAAGTGACTGGCCCAAAGTCACCCACCTGGTTCTCATGGCTAAGATAGGGCCCAAGCTGTGAAAACAATATATACTCTGTGCCTGCCCATGCATTGGTAACATTGGAGAGCCAGTTTGGTCTAGTGCTTAAGGCAACAGGCTAGAAAGCAGGAGATAGTGAGTATCTCCTGCTTTCTAGCCTGTTGCCTTAAGCACTAGACCAGTGGTTCTCAACCTGTGGGTCGGGACCCCATTTGGGGTCAAATGACCATTTCACAGGGGTCGCCAAACCATGCTGTCCGCCATTTTTTTCCCTTTTCCCTAGCTGTCCTACTCCCTCTTACTGGTAGCCACACCCACTTGGGGGTCACCACAACATGGGGAACTGTATTATGGGGTCACGGCATTAGAAAGGTTGAGAATCACTGCACTAGACCAAACTGGCTCTCCAATGTTACCAATGCATGGGCAGGCACAGAGTATATATTGTTTTCACAGCTTGGGTGGGATGAGATGATGATGATGATGATGATGATGATGATGATGATGATGATGCCAAAAATGTGAAGTAAAAGTTTTGGGGTTTTTTTGAGGAAACAAATTGAGTGTATAATATAAAAAGCCTAATTTTATTTTATATTGAACTGTAGTTTATATAAACTATAATAAATATTTTTTTATCCATTTTAGAACATACACTATATTTTGGTTTGTTTCCCATCTCAAAACAACAAAAGTTACTCAGTACTTATGCTCTGGTCACTTCCAAATTGACTACTGTAATGTGCTTTATATGAGGCTGCCCTTGAAGAGTATCCAAAAATTCAACTGGTGCAAAACATAGTGGTGCAGACAGTTTATATATTGAAACTGCATATGAAACACCTCTACTCCATGAGCTGCACTGGTTGCCATTTATTTATTTGTTTGTTTGTTTGTTTAGCCTTATTTCTAAAAAAAATGGTGGCACAGTGGTTAGAATGCAATATTGCAGGCTAATTCTGCCAACTGCCAGCAGTTTGATCCTGACTGGCTCAAGATTGACTCAGCCTTCCATCCTTCTGAGCTCGGTAAAATGAGGACCCAGATTGTTGGGGGCAATATGCTGATTCTGTAAACCGCTCAGAAAGGGCTGTAAAGCACTGTGAAGCGGTATATAAGTCTAAGAGTGCTAGTGCTAACTCAATGTGGCAATCATACCCAACACAAATAGGAGGATTTTCCCCGCAACAATAACCCTGTGAGATGGGTTGGACTGAGAGTGACTGGCCCAAAGTCAGCCAGCTGGCTTTCATGGCTAAGGTGGGATTTGAACTCACAGTCTCCTGCTTTCTAGCCTGGTGCCTTAACCAGCAGACCAAACTGACTCTCAGTTTGCTTTCAGATCAAGATGCATTGATCTTTAAAGCCTGTGGCAGTGTTTCTCAACCTTGACAATTTTAAGGCATGTGGACTTCAACTCCCAGAATTCCACAGCCAGCATTGCTGGCTGTGGAATTCTGGGAGTTGAAGTCCACATGCCTTAAAATTGTCAAGGTTGAGAAACACTGCCTTATGGGATCAAGTTATTTGAGGGACCATCTCTCCTCAGTTACATCTACCTGTCTCACCAGGTCCAGCAGGAAGGGCACTTTATGGGCCTCATCTGCTAAAGAGGTCCATCCATGATAGGACCCAGGAGGCAAATCTTCTCTCCCATTGCATGCACCCTTTGGAACATCACCCCTCCCCCGGGATGAGATTGGCTCCAACCCTATTGACTTTCCAGAAATCCTCTAAAACACGGGTGTCAAACTCACCATGTCATGTGATGTGTTGCGATGTATCACGACTCTTTTTTGCATTGCTGGCAATGGGGTGGGCAAAGCTTCCATATGATGAAACCAGCCCGCGGGCTGGCAGTTTGACACCCCTGCTCTAAAAGTTTGTTTTGTCAACCAAGGAATCCCATGGAAATAGGGAGCTCGTAAATTGATAGTTCTGTATGTAAGATCTCGAGGACACTCTTCCCATGGTTTGGTTTATATATTTGTTTTTAATTATTTTAATGGTTTTTAAAGTTTTAATTACTTTGTTTAGATTGTGTACATGATTCAAAGTTACATACATGAGATGGTGGCTATATAAATTTGATAAACAACTACAGTACCTGTTTTTGGAAACCCTGGAATTAATATCAGGGCCCTCAAAATATGGGATCAAGGACCATAAGTTGCCACAGGGTCATTAGGGTGTCCACCCCTGGTTTAGCATGTTGTGCAAATCCAAACAATTGTGTTCTACTCTATAAAGTAAACCCTTTTTTTATTGTGAAGCATGCTCATCATTAGAGCTAGTTTCTCAGCATCAAAGCTAGGTCTTGTATTTGTAAATCACACACCCACACCCACAATGGCTTTTGAGCTTGCAGAGTGACTTTTCACTAATTATATCCATAGACAGTTTCCTATTCCCCCAGGCACCTTTTCTGTATATATTTCCAAAGTGTATGCTGTTCGTGCCAACATACATAACCAGAGTTTTTTTTTTTTTTAACTTTGGCAACTTTAAAAGATGTAGACTTCAACTCCCAGAACTCCACAGCCAAAAATTCTGAGAGTTGAAGTCTACTCAGCTTTAAATTGCCAAGATGTATACCATTTGTGTAAAAGGCAAATGTTACCGAGCACAATTTTCATTCACTACCCTCTTTCCCCACGCCCATCCTTGTAAAACCACGGTTTAATCCACCCAATTTTCAGGATTTACGGTACTATAAATGGGCCGATCGCTGCATCGGACTACTTCTTGGATGGAGCTAGGGCGTAAAGCCCTCGTTCCCCCTCTCGCTCCCGCTGCCAGGAGGGCCCCGCTTACTCTCTCCTCCCTCTGGGGCGGGGAAGCGGGCAGCAAGGGGCGGCGCCAGGAGGCACCCTTGCCTTGAGGTATAAGCCCGGTGGGTAGTTGCTTGTTCTTTCTTTGCCCCCAGCCGCCTCCACTCGCTATGTTGCTTCGGCTCCACGTCAGCCTCCTCCTCGCCCTCCTCCTGAGCTGTGAGGCGAGAGGGCAGGAGCAGAAGCAGGCGAGCAAAAGCGAAACTCCGCTCCAGTCGCTGCAGATTGAAACCCTGGTAAGTGTGCGGGGCACATCTGTTTGGAAGACGCCGCCGCCGTTGACTCCGCTGTTTGGGGCGGGGGGGGAGAGAAGCCGGCACGTCTCGGGGCCTCCGACTGCTTAAATGACAGCTCGAAGGGAGAGAATCCCTGACTCGCAGCCGGTCCAGGCGCTCCCTCACGTGTGAATCCTTCGCCTCCCGTGCGGATTAGGAAGGGCAAGAAAAATAACCCGTTTGGGACGGAGCTCTACGCGCGTGTCTCCAGGATGAAAGCTGCAGTCCGACAAAGTCTTAACCCGCACTCCCTTCAACCGAGGAGAGGATGAGCAGCTGGCCGGTTGTTTTTCTCCGCAGGTGGCGTCCCCTGAAGGCTGCACGGAGCGCTCGGCGACAGGCGACACTGTGGCAATCCACTACACGGTGAGTAAAGCGAAGGGTGGGGGAGGCGCGTCGCCGGGAAGCACAGCAAAGCCACACGAACACGTCAGCACAGCCTCCTCCCGCTGGGGTTCCCTACTAGTGGGTGGGGTTTCCGAAGGCTCCACCTTCTACTTTCGGAAACACAAATCGAAATTGAGGAGGAAGTCTCGAAAATCCGTAGAGTTTCCTGTGGGGTGCCGAGGCGGGGGAGTGTCCTTCCAATCTCGTGGCGTGGGGCGAGACCGAGACGGAGGAAGGCTTACTTCGTGACCCGTTCAAACTGCATGTGCCCTCTGGAAGTTTTGGAAGGCTTTATGCCGGACGCGTAACTTGGGATGGCCATAGTTACTGTGAGAATCATATTCCATAAGTTTCTATATTACCTACCCCCATAAAATAGAAGAGGGAATGTGAGGCCGTTTAACTTATGGGTGACACCTGTCACCGTCTCTGATCATTGGTCCTGGGCTGTGGGAGGGAGGAAGCGGCCTCTCCTTCACTAGGAGTGTTCAGTGAAGGTAGAGCACCATTTAACTAAAAGTAATCCTCGACTTACAACAGTTTGTTTAGCGACCATTCAAAGTTACAACGCCACTGAAAAAAGTGACGTGACCAGTTTTCACATGACCATTGTAGCATCCCCACGATCATGTGATCAAAATTCAGGCATTTGGCAATTGACTCATGACGATTGCAGTGTCCCAGGGTCAGGAAGTCAGATTCGTTTAACAAGTTTGACTAATTTACCAGTAACGACTGCAGTGATTCACTTAACAACTGTGGCAAGAAAGGTTGTAAAATGGGGCAAACTCACTTAACAAATGTTTCACTTAGCAACAGAAATTCTGGATTCAATTGTCTAAGTTGAGGACCACCTGTAGAAGGTTTTAATTTGGACAACACTGGCTCCCTCTGCTAGGAAACTGAGCACTGCCCCCTAGAGGCAGACACTACTGGACAGGGGAAACCTCTACCTTTTTAATTTGGATTCCTGCATAAGCCAGGGTAGGGCCTGGCCTATGTAACTCCTTGAACATTATAATTCTAGGAATGTAGTAACATCTGATAGGCCAATGTTTTACAAATAAAGTCACTGCTTCTCAGCCCAACTCACGTCACAGGATTGTTGTAGGGAAAATAGTAGTAGGACTGTTGGTATGTTTGCCTCTTGAGTTGGAAAAAAAGGGGCAGGATAAAAATCTTAAAAACCCTTCACAACTTTAAATTTTCAGCTCCCAGAATTCCCCAATAGTATCCACCTGGGATTTGAAGTACGCACATCTTAAAGTTACCAAGTTTGAAGAGCACTGGGTTGTAGCTTTCTCGGCTCTTCTAAGCAACATGCAGCATAGTTAAGCCTATATCTCTAAATGTTTCTAGCCAAGGTTGATGGAAGTAGGTATTAGGATGGGATGGGATGAAATGTCTGTAATACTAATGCAAAAGAGCTATGCCAGTTAAAGGTGCAGAAGTTGGTGTAAAGTAGGCAAATGGATGAAAAGATTAAAAATAGGAAAGTCTCTGCTCTGGAAAGGCAGGAAACCCATCTTGTCAGAGTCCAATAACGCAGACTATGCCCACACTTTTTATTTTATGCAATTATGTAAAGAGGCCTGGTAACCTCTAGTTTAAATTGCTACAATACTTTATGAGCGGAAATATTTGAAGCTAATGTGGAAACACTCAATACAAACTGTAATTACTAGTAACTATTAGGCTAGTCAGAGTATATTGTGCATCATTGGACTTGGCTTTATTTTGAAGCAATTTTTTATCACTTTTTTATGTACAGAATAAGAATTGAAGTCATCTTCAGATACCTTATCCTAGCAGGAAAATGTACAGTTCGCTTCTCTGGGGCCTCCTATTTTCATGCCCAGAGTCAAACTGAGATAGTGATCCAAATATCAGTATGTAAAAAAAGGGTAATTTTTGCTCAGGGCAGCATCATAACCAGCTATTAGTATGTCTAATCATCTGAAAGAAAAGGAGCACTATTTACCTCAGTGGGAATTATCCATTCATAAATTGATTACGTAGCTTTAAATACGGATAAAAGTAATGATTCTGAACTACCATGCTGTTAGTTGCAGGAAATGCAGTTATGAAAAAGACATCCCTGTGATTATAGAGGAAAAATGGCTTCTCCTAAAATGGCACCCCATGCTTGCATACAGTATTTTTGTTTTGAGTATAATAGAAAATTAAATTGACCTGCATGAAGTTGCTGTCCATACTTTTTCATCATGGGACATAATGATATTTCATTTCTTACAAAGTTATAGGTTTCAGCACTTTCTCTTGATTTAAAACAAAACAATTGTAGAAAGGGCAATTGATGTGAGAAATATGTGCACATACCCCTCAGTTTAAGGATTTTTTTTAAAACAGGGTACTCTTGAAGATGGACGCATTATTGATACCTCACTCTCTCGTGATCCATTGCAAGTGGAGTTGGGCAAAAGACAGGTCATACCAGGTAGACCTCTGTTCTTTATCTTCTGTTCTTGAACCTCTCCTTGCTTGATTTCATCATTTGACCCCAGCCTATACCTAAGAACTGTCAGTCATCTTTAGCTGTATCAGTGCTGAGGCAGTTTCCTCCCTTATCCTAACACTGGGTTTGCTCCAGATACAATGGCATGCTTTACAGATTGTTGAAGTGGTGCACTCGGTTCACTTTTGGAGGTGAGATTAGCCTAACTTCTCTTGTTAGTGCAGATATGCTCCTTCCCCTCACCACACTCATGAGGGCAGTACTGAAACTGCATGGTGGACAGAGGGAGTGATGACTATACCTCTGCTGCTTCTAACTCTCCCACACCTTTATATACTGTTCAGGCTGCTTTTGGACGCCTTTTTAGTATATCAAAAGGAATGGAGCCTGACTGTAGCTTAAAAGTCTTCCATTGAATGGTAACCATGCAAAATACTTGTATTAAACCAGAAGTTTTGACATGTGGCTAAATCTGCTGGTCTAGCCATCAGGCAAAACTCATCTCCTACCCAACTCCATCCAATGTTATGATGAATGGTTAGTGGATGTTTTCCTGTTGACTGTTTTCTTGATGTTTGGTAGGAAAGAGATGGAAATAAAACCAAAAAGTAACCACCAGTTTTTTTTCCTTAATCTGTTATGTATTGTTTAGATAAGGACAGCACTATTTGCTGACATCTTGCCTGTGACAGGATAGGGGCTGGCAAGGAGTTAGCACATATTTCACTAGTATCTTTTTATACTCAAGGATTGATGGAAAGCACTTGGCCATGAAGAAGACCCAAACTCAACATACTTCAATTGTAGAAGGGTAGATTTGAGTTGAAGATTAGAAGAAATCTTTAATGATAAAAGCATTAGATCCTGCAATCTGGTACGGTGCTTTCTTTTAGAAGACTTCCAGCAGAAGCTAAGTACAGTAGTCATCTGTGGAACTGTATAAGACTGTGATCAGCATGTTTTATATGTGCCATTCATTTTGTCCTAGGTTCCCAACTTTCTTGCCTGTTTATATTTTTGGTTTGATAGATTAATCTCAACCTGTGTTCTGGTAACCAAACAAGAGATTTATTATTTTAATATAAAGAACTCCTTTTAGAGGAACTGAATGTTCTAGGGGAAAAACCACAAAGGCTTCTAATTAAGTTCTTTTTTCCCCCCTCTCAATTCAGGTTTAGAACAAGGTCTACTGAACATGTGTGTTGGGTAAGTAACTCCCAGTAAGTAACTGGAAATCTTTATAGGTAGTTGCTATACTCAGTCAAGCCCGCAACCTTCTCTGTTTTGAATTCTGTTTGTTTTCTGTGTAGAGCCAAGATGGGCTGCAGTTTCCAAGTGACAAACAAAAGCACCGTCTGCATTCAGAGATATTTTTCTTATTTGCTTGTTCAGACCACAGTGGAAAAATTCTGGTTCTTTAAGTATTATAATGCTGCAGTCAACAGCATTCCTTATTAGAGACTGTATTGCTAGAATTTATGGGACCTGGAATTCAACAGCTGAAAAATGATATAGTTCCCATTCTTGTGTTTATATAAAGATGGACATCAAAGAGAAACTAGTATTAAAAGGGCAGTGATCAATAGAGAAGGGAAAGAGGCTGAAAAAGTGCTTGCAAGAACAATAATAATAAAGCAAAGATTGCACCAATAGTAATAAGCACCTTCAGTGCAATCCCAAACTATCTGGAGCACCACTTGGACACAATGAGCATTGAGAAAATCACCATCAGAACTGCAAAAAGCAGTTATGCTTGGAACAGTCTACATTCTGTAACAGTATCTTTAACAAACAACATCTGCCTGTTCCAGGTCCTTGGGAAAGACTCAATGGGTGGCTAAAAATGCCAAATGCAGTCTAAACATCTGACTATAATATTTTAACTGCATGCTGCCCAACTCTCAACTCTGGACTGCTTACATTTATTTAAAAATTATAATAAAATCAAAAAATAAAAGATGAGGTGAAGATTTGTTCTCCGAGCTTGTGGATTGGTTTCTGAATGTTTCATTACCAGACTAAGTAACATCTTCAGCATAGTTTAGGGATTGTCAGTGTCAGTGTCACTGACACAGTTATTGACACTGACATTGCCTACACCAGGGGTAGGCAACCTTGGCTCTTTTATGACTCGTGGACTTCAACTCCCAGAATTCCTGAGCCAGCTGGCTCAGGAATTCTGGGAGTTGAAGTCCACGAGTCATAAAAGAGCCAAGGTTGCCTATCCCTGGCCTAAACTCCGCTGAAGATGTTACCTAGCCTGGTAACGAAACATTTTAGAAACCAACCCACAAGCTCGGAGAAGGAACCTTCACCCTCATCCTCCACCCGAGCTATAGATATTTGCCACTATTGCAAAAATAAAACATGGCAAGCACAATTAAGTACAGGATTTCACTTGCCAAAGATCAAGATTTGAGGGATGCCAAGGGAGGTCTTCAAGTCAGTTTTGATTCTTGATGATTGCCTGGACAAGTCCTTGCAGTTTTATTGGTATGATTTCAAAAATGATTTGCCATTGCCTCCTTTCTAGAGTTGAGAGAGAGGGAGCTGGCCTAAGTTGGCTTTGTGCCTTAGATGGGACTACAACTCAGAATCTCCTCTCAGTTTCTAGCCTGATGCTTGAAGATTAACCGGCTGGAGTATGTACAGAGGAAAACAGAACAATGTTAAGAAGCTTGGAGGACAAAATGTTATTGGAAAAAAATCTCATTTAGTTTTCTTTCAGACCTTAATGCAAGCCCTCACCAATTTTTTTCTGTTCCCATCTTAATATTCAAAAGTGCTCTAGGCCTTAAGAGGCTCGTTATCAAAGTCAAAAATTCTGTTCCAGTTATGTAAATGTCATTCTACGCATGGAAACAGGCAATCCAGTCAGAAAAACAGGTCCAGCATGTCTGTTCAGTTTTTCCTATGACTGCCCCTTCCCTCCCCTCAAGGACGTAGCTTGTTTTGCTGAAGGCTGCAATCTTTTTCTAGCTTAGAGGTGATCAGTTGGCAAAATCCCATTGAAACCAATGGCCTTGTGCTCCTGTATCTTATGAATACTGACCTGGCCTTTACTCAGTTTGTTTTCTGGCAGGGAGAAACGAAGAGTCATTATCCCTCCTCACCAGGCATACGGCAAACGAGGTTCCCCACCAGCTATACCAGGTAGGATCCAGTTACCAACAATTATTTAATGGCCGGCCAGCCTACTGAGGCAGGAGGTAAACAGATACTTAGCACTGTTTGGACAAGGATGTCCAGTCCTGTTGTTTTAGAACATTGATTGGACACTTTATCTCTAACTGGGCCAGGAAAGGGAGACTGGAAAGGAACGGACTGTGGGCATTTAGGAAGTAATATTATAAAGCCACATCTGTGCTGCAGTTTTTATTTTGTAAACCAGGGGAGGATTTAAGAAAAAAAATGTTACAAAACTCTGGTGAAAAGGAAACGCACAAAAGGATAGCCCGGGAGACATACAAACGCAAAAATAATACTTCTAGGCTTAGTTTGCCTGGTGATGTTACTGTGTAACCTCTTAGGATCTTCTAGCTTTGTTTCACAGATTTCCTCTCTTTCCAGCTGATGCAGTTCTGCACTTCGAGGTGGAATTAATCCAGCTCTCCAGAGCCAATTACTGGCAGAAGCTGTTCAGCGATATACTCCCCTTGCTGAGCACTGGGCTTGCCCCAGCGCTGCTGGGACTGATTGGCTACTACCTGTACAGGAAAGCCCAGATGCCCCGGATATCTAAGAAGAAACTCAAGGAAGAGAAGAAAAACAAGGCCAAAAAGAAATAAAGTTGTTCCTTATCTTTTTCAACATTGTTTCCCACTGGAATGTATGTGTAGGGGGGAGTGCTCATACTGTCTGTTTCCCACACATACACAGTATCTAAACAACTTAATTAGACATAACTCTTGCACAAAAGGACAAGGATGTGGAACCAGTTCCCATCACTGCACAGATCTCTAGTTTGATGTTCCTCACTGTATTGCCCTTTAGATGTGAGACCACAACTACAGTTCCTTATAGCCAGTGAGCTTCTAAGAAAACTCTGGATCCACAAAGGCTGATCTAATACTTTGTACAAAATTTAATCAAGTAAATGGCACAGAAGAGTGATTTTGAGTGTTCTTTACATATTTAAACATGTTAATTCAAGAAGTGGTCACTGCATAAAGTCTGTATGGGGCATTTATTAATCATATGCCCTCATAGTATAGATTTTACTTAAACATTCATACTACAAAATGATTAAAAATAAGAGAACGCTTTACAATTCCTCGGATATATTTAACAAGTCTTTGTACTGCCTGAGAATGATAGGAACTTGTCCAAAGGACTTAAATGGTAACAGGTAGCCTAACTCCATTTACAGTCCAAACTTACACTGGTGTTCATCTCCCAAAAAATCTTGAGAACGTATAAGGATAGTGAGAGATTAATAACTGATTCATCAGCATCAAGATACTACTACTCTGTAGCTGAGACAACTACATGGTATAAAGTATAAGTTTATAAGATAGACAAGATCTTAGAATAAAGATCATCTCAGCAGCTCATAGGCTGAGTGTTCTGGTTGCGAAGGCGTCAAAATAATGTCCTTGTTGGATTTTCTTTAGTAGCTTCATAGAGTTTCCATCCATGAAGCCTACTTCCCACCTCCTCATGTAGAGTGTTTCAAGCTCTTGAAAGGGGAATTTTAAACACTAGGTATAAGAAGTTTGAGAGGAAAAAGAGGGTTTGGTAAAGGAAAAAAAGCTTTATTAAATGTCTACTCTGCAAAGGTACAAAGACAGATGTGTTTCAAAATGTACACATAGTCGTGGGGTATATCTTCAGCTTCCATTGTACAGGACTCTGGATTGGATTGGCCATGGAAGAAAAAGCTGCAAGACACATTAGTTACTATTTAACTATTTAATGGCAGTTTGTGGGAATTTTTCTAAAAAGGGCCCAGCACAGACTGAAACTGGAATGGACTGGCTCTTCTTTGTGCCCAGTAGCTGTGTTAACATAACAGAAAAGAACCGCTTGAACTCACCAAATGTCGATTCAGAGGATATGAGAAACTTCGTGTGCTGCCTCTATAATATTATAGATGGGCCGCTTGGCTTGGGACCCTCTGGCAGGTGCTGCCTGAGACCCATCTGAGACAGTTGTAGGTTGATTAATTATCATCAGAGGATTGACCTGGCTCAGGACTTCATCATTCACTGAGATGCCATCCAAGTACTGCTTGAGAAGATGCCTCAGCTTAAAATTGTCTTGCATCAGTACATCTTTAGTCCGCTCTAGCGAGAGCTGTTCCAGCCTCACCTTGTTGTATCTTTGCCAAAAGCGCTCCAGGCCCACGTAGTTCAGCATCATCTATAAAATGTTGAAAAGCCTTGACTGGTTGCAAGGAACTACATCACAACTTTGAGTGCTCAAGAACTTGCCTACATAAAAATGCCAGCTTAGTGTATGCTGTGCGAAATATGCAATTCCCAAGCCAATTCTAAATTGGGATATCCTTGTGGGAAATCCACAACCACTAGGAAGATTATAAAGACCAGTTTCCTTTAGGTGGGTAACGGCCCAATACCAAAATGAAAAGTTGCACTTCAGACAAATTTGCTTTTGCAGAGGGGAAAGCAAAATGCCTTTTGTTAAAAGAGCAGAGGCAAATTCTGACCAAATACTAGAGAGTCAAACTGTACCAAATGCCATCATATCATCTGAATCAGATTTTCCCCTATGAAAAGCAGATTTATCGGTAAGTGAGGATCAGGAAAGAGGATGAGGCTTAACTATTTTTTCTTCTGCTAAGGTCCCAAGGAAAATCTTTCTGAGCAGCAGGTGCCAAACTCAGGAAAAGAAACCCTACTAGCTTCAAGGAATCTTTGCCTCAATCCTATCATCCCTCCTGGGAGAACCACAGTAAATGCCAGCCAATAAACCCCGAAGATGCAGGCTAATTTTAACATCTGGACGGATTAATCCAAACAAAATCCAAGGAAATATTTCTTCCATGTGGCAACAAAGAAGACAAAGGGGTATCCCACCCATTTCTGAATTCAGACGTTTCACCTGAGCAAGTGATTCAACTGGTTTTTCCAAAGCCAACTTATCGACGGCCTTCTGTTCTTCCCAGTTCAGGGAGCTCGAGTAAAATGGTACCACCTTCTCCTCCTCAGACTCCAGCCTACGGCACATTTCCGCCAGGCGCAGAATTATCTCTGCCTGCAAAAACAGGAAAAAGGTGATTGGATAGGGTTTTCTCTAGGTTTTTGGCACAGTGTATTTACAGAGTGCTGGAGCTTAATGGAATATCTATACAAGTAGTCCTTGACATACATATGACTACAATCGAGCTTGCCCATCGATCATGCATTGTAATGGGTCGTGAAACCATTTTATGATCTTTTTGCAGTGGTTGTTCAGCAAACACAATAGTTGCAAAGAAAATGCCGGGGTAGTTAAGCAAACCACTGGTTTGCTGTGGGTAAGGTTTTGCCAAAAACTGGAAGTGCTGGTTTTCAGAAAAATTGTCATGTGACCATGGGATACTGCAAGCAGCCATGTTGCCAAGCACCCAGTTCGGTCCTGGTGGGGACCACAGAGGGGGCCTGACTGTCAGAATTTCGAATCAGATTCTCTTTTTCGGATCAGTTGTAACTCTGAATCATAAACCAAGCAACCAGTTGTAAGTCGAGGACTACCTGTAATGTAGTAATTAATTAGGAATTATAATTCCTGGCTTTCTCTTAGCATCATATTATCTGTCTATGTTCTGTTTCTAACTCCTAGGATGTTCAAGGAGACTGACAATAGTTATCCAAATATAAAACAAAGTTCAAACAACAACTAATATTAATAGAGACTCAGTTTGTGCAGTGCTTGAGGCACCAGGCTAGAAACTAGAAGACCTTAAGTTCTAGTCCCATCTTAGGTACAAAGCTAGTTTGGTGACTTTGTGCCAGTCACTATCTCTCAGCCGTAGGAAGAAGACAATGGCAATCACTTCTGAAGATCTTGCCAAGAAAACTGTAGGGATTAGTCTAGGTAGTCACCAGGAGTCAGTGGTGGAGGCTAAATGCATGACATTAATAATAATTAAATGACCGAGTTCCAGAGAAAGGCCTTGAATTATTTTTTAAAGATGAAGAAAACAGGTACATTCCCTAGTGTAGGACCAATGCAAAAGAAGGCCCTTTCTCACAGACCCAACAAATGGGCCTCTTAAAGTGGAGCATCTTTAAAGAGTCTTTTCGGCCAGCCAAAATTTCTGGACTGGCTGATATCAAGACAGAAGTTCCTCAGATAGACTAAGCCATAAGCCACTTAATATTTTAAAAGTTAAGCCAATACTTTCAGTAATAACCATCAGATGTTCATGATTAGGCTTTCAAAGCTGCTATATTTATGGTTGTTCAATTGCTGTTCGTTCAAGCAGAGTAGGCTTTGGAAAATTATTAGTGGGGTGTTATCTTTCTGGCTACCCTTCTGTATCTGAAAGTAACTCCCAAGATGATGAAAGACAGATTTAGATATTTGCACAATTTTCACACGTTAATACATATTTTCCCTTAAATGGAATTTTAAGGCTGCTAAATTGCTTATTTAGAGAACATATGATAATGTGACAAATAAATCTTTGGAAATGCATCCATCACAGACACCAAAGAACTAGAAGTGACAGCAGTTCCTTGGCAACTAAAGAATATGTGACAGCTTTTGCGCTACATAATATCTGGAAACGTTTTCAGACATTCAAGACAAACAAGACATGCTCCAAAGTTTGTTGCCTACCAATCTCCCACCAAGAGCCAAAAAAATCTATCGGGAATGATGAATAAAAATGACATGCCCAAAATGAAGCCAAGATCTTCATCACTATTGCTTATCCATCATCAGCACAGATTTTTCTTTTTGTAGGAATCCCCAGCTATCATTCTTTCTCTTGAGTTTGAAAATCCCAGTTAATGTATTCTTTTTTTCCCTTTTGTACTTCAGCTTGGCTGAGTGCTGTGTCTTTCATCCAGCATGATAAATGTTGCTGGGATTTTGGATGCTGGGAGAGGAATGATGGTTATTTTAATGGTTTCAGGTGTTACAGTTTTGTGGGAAGTGTTCCTGGGAGTCAGTGTGAAGTATTAGCAATTTATAAATATTATAAGAAAGAACATTCAATAAAAGTCAAACACTGTTGTTCTCCTAGTGCACAGGCCAGCCTCTAGGGCCTAGGCCAGGGGTAGGCAACCTTGGCTCTTTTATGACTCGTGGACTTCAACTCCCAGAATTCCTGGGAGTTGGTCCACGAATCATAAAAGAGCCAAGGTTGCCTACCCCTGGCCTAGGCATTCTTGCATACACATACAGACCAGTTTGTTTCCCTCTTGAACAAAAATTACTTGGCAATCTCTTTTTTCCTGCAATGGCCTTGTGATAGTTTTTTTTATCTCATCTTCATCCCATGAATAACCCTAACCCTTAAATTGTCCCAAGTAAACTGATATAAGACAGGTATTTTTCCCTTATTCCAACACTACCTGAGGACAACCTCAGAGTATGTAAAATCTGTCAGGTTTTTATTTGGAAGAAAGGCAGATGACCATCGATAGAACAACGTTAGAATAAATATTGGCAATGAGAACAGCAAATGTCATGCCGATATGGTTTTTTGCTGACCCGAGGATGAGTGGCAAGTGGGGAAAGGTCCAAGGCACCACCTTCTACTGTAATAAATATAGGTAGAGAAGAAAAATATTGTCATTGACCCATGTCTCCAATGCTCCTGAGTCATACGCGTAGCATATAGGAAGAGAAATCAGGGAAGAAAATTCTGACCGATCCCTTCTTACTTTGATGCCTGGAATCTGAAAAATGGTTTTCACGAAATCAGGATCAACTCAGGCCAATCAGATACAGGTAGTCCTTGACTTATGACCAAAGTTGACCCCAAAATTTCTGTTGCTAAGTGAAACATTTGTTAAGTGAATTTTGCCCCGCGTTATGATCTTTCTTGCCATGGTGGTTAAGTGAGTCACTGCAGTTGTTCAGTGAATGTGGCTTCTCCATTGACTTTGCTCGTCGGAAGGCCACAAAAGGGGATCATGTGGACTCTGCCACTGTTATAAATATGAGTCAGTTGCCATGCGTCCAAATTTTGAATACCATGACTATGGGGATGCCGCAACAGTTATAAGTGTGAAAAACTGTCATAAGTCATTTTTTTTACCCTGCCACTGTAATTTTGAACAGTCACTAAACAAATTGCTGTAGGTCGAGGACTACTTGTATTATGTGCATAAATTAAGCAGATTTTAATATATTTAAGCATAATTGTATTTCCATCTCTTCTTTAAGAGCCTCTGTGTCGTGGCCCCCTTGGAGCCCAGTTCGAAGGAGGAGGAGGAATTGAAACTGGGACCGTCCAACAGGGATGGCACGTCTCTCTTGGCATATTTGGAGAGGCCGGGGGCTGAGGACGATGCTGTCCTCAGCCCCTGTCCTTCAGGCATTACGGGAAGTGGTCGATCAGATGGAGAGCTGCCTGCCCTCACAGACACAGACAGGCAGTGGTGCTGATAGGCAGATAATCTCCTCTGATGAGGGACAACTGCCTCCTCCACTACATCCAAGGGCAAGGAAGTAGAGTGTAGGCAAGGCCGCCCCACCCCTCCTCACAAGGAATACTTGGAGGGGAGTAACTTAAGGGGAAACCACGAGGAGTTAGTCTTTCCTATGAACAATTGTTTGCTTTGGCTTACACTCCCCCGGCTTCGACTTGTGCCTGTTGCTATTTGCCTTGCCTCACTTGAAGGTTGCTCTTTGCCTTGGACCTCGCCCTTGTTTTGTTGATGGCTTTTGGCCTTTGATCTGCTCTACTCTTGGAACTGCTTCTTGCCTTGGACCTTTTCTTTGCCCTGAGGACTGCCATTGTCTTGTGCCTGGACTCTGCCTTGCACACCGGACTTGGAACCCTAGGCCTTGCCCTGTGACCGTACTCTTACTCTGGGGACTTTATTTGTACCATAGGGGCTATTGTTTGGGGGGACTGAGGGTGGTTGCCCTCAAGGCAGCATGAGGGTGGAGCCTTATTGGTCGTTGGAGGGCCGTTACTGGATCATTTGTTGAGATAAATAAAGCACTGCTCTAGAGCAGGGGTCCCCAACCCCCAGTCCATGGACCAGTACTGGGCTGCAGCATGCCAGCAACTGGTCCACACAAACAAGCAAAGCCCCATCCGCGAGATGCAGGCAGCACACAAAACCACGCCCCCTCCGGTCTGCAGAAAAAACCTCTCTTCCCGGAATTGATCCCTGGTGCCCAAAAGGTTGGGGACCTCTGCCCTAGAGGCCTGCCTTGCTTTGACCACCTGAGTCATAATACTCTGTGAGGAAATAATCTCAAACCAAGAGTGCCCTGAATTAATCACAGAGGAGAATTTTTTAAAAAATAAAATAAAATAAGGTATATAAGAAGTTAGTGGATGTGGACTATAAGAATATTTGTACGATCACCATGCCTAGATGGAATTCCGGTCGAGTCTTATAAAAAATATGAGAGTTACTACAATGAATAATGTTGGATTCCTAGTAAGTAGTAGAATACGAAAGAAGGAAAACGTAAATAAGAAACAATGGGGCAATAAGGACAAATATTTCAAAGAAGAAAGAGGGGGGAAATGTAAAGAATAGAAGAGTACTGTTACAAACTGCTGTTTAAAAAAAAGGATATATTACGTGTGTATGTGTGTAATGTTTTGTTGTGTTTTGTTTGGTTTTGTTGGTCTAAAATAAAAAAAAATTAATCACAGAGGAGCCCACCTTTCCCACCACGTGTTCCAAGGCCTTGAGAGTTGCACTGCTTTCCTTCGTCAGCTTAGCCAGGTTGCTACGGGCTTTAGCTCTTGCCCGATTCATCTGGCTCTTCAGCTTCTGCAGCTGTTTCAAAACCACTTCCTTCTCATCACGAACACGCCGGTTTTGCTCCTCGCTCTCCCTTGCCTGGATCACAATCTTGTTCTTCAGAGTGATAATGAGATCCTGGTGACCACAGAAGGGATATTTTCAGACTACAGGACATTTTTTGCAATGTGATGACAGAGAACGGGCAAGGGGGAGGGGAAGGGAAGCAAAAAAAGGGAACAGAGAGAGAAAGAAAACAAAAGATAATTCTTACAAATTTGGCTCCACCCTTTGGCTCCAATCCTGACTGCTATTGCTTTGCCTACCACAGGAATGGGATTCCCCCCCCCCCACAAGTCCCCACATCCAAAATTCAGTCTTTGATTTAAAAGGAAGTTTTTTCTACCGATGCTATAAGTTGAAAAATAGAACAGTAGTTGGCAATGCAGTTAAATGGCAGTTTTAGACATGCTATCTACTTTTATTATACGTCAAAGAAATCATAGGCTGAGGCATTGTGGCTAGTTGTATAGCAGGGACACTGAGGATAAGAGATGCACTATGTGGGGAAAAAGAAAGGAAAAATGATCAGCAGATGTGGTTTCCAAACTGCTTCCCAATGGGATCTTAGGGGTATGTGAAAGCTGATCAGCAGTTCATCAATAAGAAAACAGGCAACTCTGGACAAAAATCCTCAAAAGGTAGTTGCCCAACCTGTGCTGTAATTTAGGAGGTATTCTGAATTCATGCAGCATGATAATAAGGTCCAGACGGGCATCTCACTGGAAATGCCTAGAAGATGCCACAGAATCTTCTGCAATATGCCAGGACAGAAATACAAAGGTAGAGAGAGTTGAACACAGAGAGGGCTCTCTGAAGTTAGAAAGTGTGAATATACAGATATATATGGGGGGGGGGAAATACAGGTAGTCCTCAGCTTACAACAGTTCATTTAGTGACCATTCACATTTACAATGGCACTGCAAAATGTGACCTATGACTGTTTTTCATGATCACTTTTTGCGACCTTCTGACAAGCAAAGTCAATGGGGAAGGCAGATTCATTTAACAACCGGGTTACAAACCGATTCAACTGCCGTGGTTCACTTAACAACTGAGGCGTAAAACGGGGCAAACCTGGCTTAACAAATGTCTCACTTCACGATAGACATTTTGGGCTCAGTTGTGGTTGTAAGTTACCGGTTTAGCTGAAGCAGTTTTGGTCACTCATTCAGATTCATCCAGGAAGAAACCTTACCTGCATCTTCTGCAATTTCTTCATCTGCATTTCTATCTCCCTGGTGCTCCTTTCATCTCTGAGCTTGAGAGCTTCGAAAGCAAATTTACGATCCTCTGTTGCTTCTGTGTAGTTACGTAAAGCCTGCTGAAAGCGCTTCCACAGCTCTTCCACTTTTCCTTCTAACTGTATGCGAAGGTAATGTTTGTCCTCCAAGTTCTGCAGGAAGTGAAAATGGGTCAACAAATGCCCTCCCTGCCACCTTTAGAGTTCTCCAACCACCTGCCTGATCAGGTGGTCTTTCTCAAGGAAAAAACAGCTTCCTTGCAGACACAAGAAAATAGACTCAGTTTATTTGTTTGATTGTTTCAAGTCCTAGTAGCAGAACCCTTATTCCTTGTGATGCAGTTCAAAGTATTGGAAATAAGGACAGCATCCATAGTGAGTTAATCAGTTTGGATTTCCAAACTACTAGCATATTTCATAGTCCCTCAGTTTTAGCTCATGACTCATGTTATACCTCACATTATCTAGAAGAGGAGAGAAAATAATGCAGAGCAGAAATTACTCCGTGTTTTATAATGCCTTGATTCCCAAAACACACCAAGCCCTTTGGTTTGGTTTGGCAAGCTGTGAGAATTTGATCAATATAATTTATAGCATATGATTTTGTGTTGCATGAACACTCCCAATAATAGCTGTTTTTAATATATCATGGTCACACAATGGTATGAACCCAGTGAACCAATCCACAATCTTTAAACAGATTGTGCCCAGTTCAGCTACAGAGTTCAACTATTCATATCGGCTTGAAATAACAAAAACATTGTTGAGTTTACTTCAAGTAGTTTGAGTACAGAAGCCTGTTTCAACATAGTCTGTTTTGTTTAGCTGAATGTGCCATAATCTTTATTTAACTGAACATGTCATAATCAGCCAGGTTCACACTTCTTAAGCCAAAAACTACTGTTGACACCATCTGGATTCATACAACACACTAAATTATGACTATGCAAACCACACCATGGCTTAGTTTAATCTAGCCAATATGTCCTAGCCTGGAATTTAGTGTATCTTAACTATGATGACAATGCACTGGAAAAAGAACAGCCCAGCAAAGAATATAGATTTGAGTATTAATAAGCAAGAGACAACAAACACTGTAGTTAGAGTAGGTAGTGATGTCTGATATCAAACACCTGATCTGTTTAGAACCATGATGGGATGTCTTGGATTGATTACTGCAAACAACGCCAAGTTCTTCCTGCTAGCATCTTCCTTTTTAAATCAACACACCAATATATAGGAGAAATATAATTCACAGATAATACTCAATAAAGCCATAATGCTCAAGAACAGAACATTTTCATAGGTAATGACTGCCATATCAATATGTCATTACTTCACTAAAGAAAAAATTAAGGGCCATACAACTGCTAAAACCTGCGAGTAAAGTTTTTTTTCCTGCAGATTCATCTGTCTGCTCTAAATTGTGATCAGATTCCCCCATTCATCAGCAAATATAAAAATATCATAAAGTTTGCTCCCCTCTCTTAACTCCCACCTTATTTTTGACATCATCCCGTGTGCTTTGGAAGTCAAGTCTGGCTTCATATTCATTTTCAGCAAAGTTCTGCTCCATCGCTAACAATACATCCTGGAGGTAGAGACTCTCCTCGTCATGATGCTCTAAGATTAACTTCCTGGCAGAAATGGAAATGGTCCTATGAGCATCAAGAATTTCACAAATCAAGGCCCCGTGGCTATCTATCCCAACCCTGTGTCCTTTCTTTTCTCACATTCCTACCTCTCTGTGTCAAACTCCTTCTGCAATGCCTGCAGCTCTGTCTGGTAATCCTCTTCTAAGTAGCCCAGGCGGCAGTTCTGGAGTTTCAACAGTTGATCTATGTTGTGTAAGTGGCTGCGTAGAGCATGAGTGTACTGAGCTTCTGCTTCGGCTAGGTCTTTAGCCAAGGACTGAAAGACAAAGAAAACCATAACATCCAGATAAAAGGCAGGTGTGAAACAACTATAGAAATCAGCATTTTAAAAAAAGAATCAGACGTCTACAGTAGTCGGACCAATTATATCAGGCAGGCAAATGTATATAATGTATACTGATTATTATTTTTTTTGCTCCCCATACTAATAATACTACTAAAATAGTAGTAGTACAAGGTACATTATCTGCCAGGATAGTTGAAAGTGTGGGAGGTTACCCACTAAAGCAGGGGTAGGCAATCTTGGTTCTTTTATGACTCGTGGACTTCAGCTCCCAGAATTCCTGAGCCAGCCATGCTGAGGGGAAAGGGAGAGGTTTCCAAGCTGAGCCATGCTGGCTCAGGAATTCTGGGTGTTGAAGTCCACGAGTCATAAAAGAGCCAAGGTTGCCTACCCCTGCACTAAAGCTTTAAACATTTTGGAATTATATAATTTTGAACTTTAGAGGACCCTTTTAAACCCATAAAGATGAGTTATGTTGATGGTCACTAGTTTTCTGAGGGTGGTCCCAAAGTAATGGCATACTTTCCTACTGAGGTGTGCTTTGCTTCTTTCATGGCTTAATGTCTATGGAAATTTTCAATCATCCAGGTCATGGTTTATCCCAAAAGGGTTTTTCAAAAGGCAACTGGGCTTTCTTGTGTTTTTTTTTTTTCCTTGAAAACGTTTCACTTCTCATCCAAGAAACTTTTTCAGTTCTGACTTGAAAAAGCTTCTTGGATGAGAAGCAAAACATTTTCAAGGAAAAAAAAAACAAAGGAAGTACAGCTGCCTTTTGAAAACCACCTTTGGGTCTTTCGTGGCTTTTTCTTGAAGAGCATCACACTGGCTCCTGATGATGAGCTTGCATGGTAAAACTTCACACAATTGGAGTGCTGCACTTCCTGCCCCTTTTTTTTCTTGTAGAGAGGACCAAGCCTCCTAATGGGACAATGTACTATGCAGCCTGGAATAACTGTGCATATTTTAAAATTAAACTTCAGACAGATGAGAGGGAACAAGTCATGTTGCTGGTCTTTTGTGCTTGAGAATACAGAGAACAGAAGCAAACTACTACCTATCTTAGTTTTATGTGAGATAGTAAGGGCTTCTATTTTTCAGAGAAGCTTCTTAAAGCAATTCTGTACGTTTGCTAACACACTGTTATATTATTAAATCTTGTCTTTCCTCACTGTATACCATTTGTGACAGTGTATCCCTGAAAGTCGATCAAAATATGTAAAAGAGATAAATACCGACAAGATGATACCAACTGAGAACAATTTTTATTTAAAGGTATGTAATTTGTTCTCACGGCTCATACTCTTTTTGCATAATGCCATATAGTCAGAGAGTTTCACGAGTTGCTTTTTATTCCTACCTGCCTTGCCTTTTTATAAGAATATCCCCAACACGCTCTTCTTCCATGGACTTTTAGAGATAGCTGCTCACCTTAATGACATTGTCTTTGCAATCCACAACACGTTCAAATGTCTGACTGAGAATCTCAATATCTTTACGCAGTTCCCTGGCCTTGACCTCACGGAGAACAGTGCGCCATTGCAAGTTGATCTTATGGAGATTCACCGAGCTGTTGCGTTCCTCCTTGGCCAACTTGTCCTGAAATGCCAGCCACAGCTTATACTGCATTCCCTCAGAGCTTACCCATGAATCAGTTAGACAATGCAGACAGTGACTAAATATTAAATGAAGCTGGTTGTGAAGATCAAAATATCTTGAGTATTTTTTTACTGAGAAAAATACGTGGAAATGAAACAATTATGGCCATGCAAAACTCATAATGGAAACTGTTTTCATCAACTATCTCCATTTGCCTGGCTAAGGTTCTTGGACAAACTGAAACAAATATGCACTGAAAGAATATAAACATATATTTATTGGTTCTGTAATCCCAATACAGACTTAAAGACCTTCACTCAAGATTTTTTCCCTACAGGTGCCTAATATTTGAAGGGTGAACTTCATTGCCATGTAAGCTGAAATCTGTTTATACAATGAAAATGTCTCCTAGCCTCTCCAGCCTTTTGCACCCTGTCCTTTAAGCCAGTCTTTTGCACCCTGTTCCAAAGAATTCCTGCCAGAGAAGAGCTTGATGGCACATCAGATGCTGCAAGGGGAAAGTGAAAATAATCCCCCTCAGTGGAATTATATCATCTTAACAATTGTTTTGAATTTTAGATATTATTCTGGGTCAAATATTACTCCACTGATTGAACATTTTAAGCTCCATGTGAATAAGACTGGAAATTTTCAGTAAATACTAACGGTATTACGTACCCTTCCTTGTCTTATATATATCCCTCTGAACCAATAGCCTATTCCTGATCTTTTTTTTAACATCAGATAAATTTATTATTATACAATCACCTCTTATTCAATTCACCTCATTAATTTGAAACTCTGTCACAGGCTGATCAAAACTTGAGGTCCAAAAATATATCTAAAAATGTTGCTCATTTCTTTTTTATATTTAATGTGTTTGCATAAAACATTTCAGACTACATTAATATTAGTCATTAATATTGTTTCTACTATTTTATGATACATACTATACACATTTCAAAGCAATGCTCTGCTTCAATTATAATGTAAAGAGAATTCTGTCACATGAATTTTGATTTTGAGCAAGTTTATATATCTAATACAAATATTATTTCTATATTGTAAAGTCATCAATCACATTTGATAGAATGCCGGACATTTTGCTGGCCCTACAATCCTCCCCTTAGAGCAGGGTATGCCTCACTTATTTTTGGCTTCGTAGTAGCATGATGTTCTTTAGGTTTTGAGTACCAAATAGTACCTTTAGAAATTGGATCAACATGTCCTCCTTCTTCTTACTCATTTCCTCCTCAGCCAGCAGCTTTTGTTGCATCATAAGCAGCCGATCTTCTTCACTGAGTACAGCCCGTTTGGGTCCCTTCTTTTTTGGCATGGTTATACTTAGAAGATGGAGAGATCTGTCAAATAGAGGAAAGACCCAAATCAACAAAGTTGATCTAAAGCCATTTTCCAATATATTGCCGTCTAGAGGTATCCAATTGCACTCCTATTATATTTTCGGAGTTGGACATATCCTGTCTAAAAATTATAGGAATTATTAAGCTAACACTTTTGGAAAGTATTAAATTGAGAAATCCTATTTTAAGTTAAGAAATACCATTCTGATTGCTAAATGAAGTTGCTCCTATACATCTCTAAAGTCAATGATTGTACTACTCATTCCTTTAATCCTGTCTGTTTATCATTCTTTATATATAATTATCCTCACTTTCTTCTAAAATATTTAGACACAGTACATTATTTTCCTCATCCCACCCTTTCATCCTCATAACCCTGTGAGGAGATTCAGGCTGAGAAACAGAAAGATAACAATGTGCTGGGCAGATGAGCTAGGATTTGAAGCCATTTTCCAAATGCTACGCTACGTCTTGTATAAACTACTGTAACCTGAACATATTAGAAGCATCAGCTAATGTTTTGGCCAAATTATTGAATGGAACCAGTTTTAGGAGCTGTGACTCTACAGTAGTGTTACAATTGCTTCTTTGAGTGTCACTCTGGTTCATTCCATAACTCAAAGCTCTGCTGATGATTTATAAGAAATGGATACTTGAAATATCATGTTCTCCTGTACAGATAGTCCTCGACTTACAACAGTTCATTTAATGACTGTTCAAAGTTACAACAGCACTGAATAAAATGACTTACGATCATTGTTCATAGTTTCAACCTTTGCAAAATCCCCATGGTCATGTGATCAAATTCAGATGCTTGGCAACTGGTTCGTATTTATGACAGTTGCTGTATTCCAAGGTCATGTGATCCCTTTTTGGGACCTCCTGACCAGCAAAGTCAATGGGGAAACCAGATTCACTTAACAATCACGTTACCAATTTAATAACTTCATGATTCATTTAACAACTGTCGCAAGAAATGTTTTAAAATGGGGCAAAACTCACTTAACAAATGTCCCACTTAACAACAGAAATGTTGGGCTCAATAGCAATAGCACTTAAGACTTATATACTTTACAGCCTCTCTAAGTGGTATAGAGAATCAGCTATTGTGGTACATAGTTGAGGACTACCTGTACAACCTTTTCCAAGCTTTACAACTGGAACTCTTTATGTCCTAAAGCTATCAGAGGCACTTTTTTCTTTATTCTTTTTCTTTCCTTTATATCTGTATAGTTTTTACGTATATTACTGTATAAAATCCTTTACTAAAAATGATAAACAGTCTGGCTTTGTAGCACATCTAAGCCACAAATAAACTAATCAACTTAAAAACTTATAGGAATACAATCACCAGATTTGTAAGTGACCTGATTAAGACTGTTGTGACAACACAGGCTCTAAATCTCTGCTTTAATCAATGCCTCCTTCCAATTAGCCTTGACCAAAGAGGTAATTCCATAGAGTCCTTGGTGCTCTCCACGCTTGGTTTTTTTGCATACATCTCATTATCCAACTATGGTAGGTAACATCATCACTGCTAGTGAGTGTGGGGTCTGCTCTCTGTTTATATATAGTAGTTTGCCGTGCCTGTATTTGTGAGAGTATAGTTTTCTCCTTGCTAGTTCCTTGATTAGGATTTTTTTTTTTTTTTGCTAGATTGTTTCTCTGGCATTAATCCCTGCTTATCTGAGTATTGGTTGGCAAAGAGGATGTTTTCTGGTTGTCTGTTTTCTTCTTAGCTTTTTTTGTATTTTCTGAATGGTGCATAAATGTAGTTTATGTCTATGTGTTTACTGTTGGCTGATTTGTCTGAATGGCAAGCTTCCAAGAATTCCCTAATGTTTTTGGATTTAGCTTGGTTTAGGATGCTTACAGTTTCTCAGTTTGAATTATGGTTGAGACTTTCCACAAGTAATTCTTCTTGTGACCAAATCCTTCAATCGCACCAAGGGAAGTGAGGAGTTGCAGCACAATAATTCACTCTCAAAAGAAGCTGTTTCTTTACCATAGGGGCCAGCAGTCTAGACTCCACTTCCAAACAGGAGGCATGTCAAAACTCTTGCTAAAACACAAACCTGTCTCAAATACAGGTAGTCCTCGACTTATGACCACAATTGAACCCCAAATTTTTATTGCTAAGTGAGGCATTTGTTAAGTGAGTTGGGCCCCATTTTAAGTCCTTTTTGCCTCCATTGTTAAGTGAATAACTGCAGTTGATAAATTAGTAACTCGGTCGTTAAGTGAATCTGGCTTCCCCATTGACTTTTGCTTGTCAGAAGGTATCAAAGGGATCACATGATCTCGGGACACTACAAGGGTCATAAATATGAACCAATTGCCAAGCATCTGACTTTTGATCACATGATCATAGGAATGCTGCAAAAGGTGGTGACTGTGAAAAATGGTCATAAACCACTTTTTGCAGGCCCCTTGTAACTTTGAATCGTCATTAAACGAACTGCTGAAAATCAAGATCTGTAGGTATTCAGATCAAACAAAACTCATTTGGTTTCCGTTTGTTTGTTTGTTTTTTCCAAAAATCCCCTTTCCGTCATCCCAGCATAGGAATGGACTATGAAACAGCGGCACTCCCCCCCCCCCACTCAGACTTTCCCCTACGAATTGGCACCGACCTTTCCACCAAAAGACCCTGCTCGTGTATTCTGGCCCTCCCGTTCTTCTCCTCCTCGCCCCGCCGTGTATCATCTGCGAGCGCGTCGCTTGCTCCAAACCGCGTCTTCCCGGTTTCCTAGCAACAGCCTCTTTCCGGGAACGCACCAGAGAGATGTTCCAGCGCCACAGCGCCCCCTTGCCGGGCTTTCCATTAGGACGGCCTTAAAAGAGAGTACTGCGCCCAGCTGGTACAAAGCCCCCCCCCCCCCGGGGGGAGGAAGGACGAAGAGAAAGCGCCGCCTAAGAAATTGAGGGAGACTGGAGAGCCTTGCAGCTACCGCCTCAGAGAAGATCAGGCCTTTCGAGGAAACGTATTTGCAGATTTTGAGTGGTTAATTCTTTGGATAGGCTTTTGATATTCCCCCTCTAGCTAGTAAGCACCCCGAGCTTTACAAAAGTAGAATGGAACTTTGGAAACAAGCCAAAAAAAAGTCCACTGGCACTGGGTGGCTAATAAATTTAAATAAATAAAATTATGTATTAATTAGGTTTATGTCTTGCTTTTGTGCAGGAGCTCAAGATGCTGTCTCCTCCACAAAGAATGCAAAGTATTGAATCATCTAGTGATCAGCAGTACACCTTTCTCCAGTGTGACTCAAAATGTACCTGAAATTCTTGGAACCCACAATTTTAAACTCTGGTATTTAAGGTTTGCTTCTGGGATCCCCCCCCCCCCTTGGCAAAAGAGGCCATATGAAATCTACTGAATTTGAACCTTAGCACAGGAAAATAACTGCTGCCAACTAGAGCCAATTAACACATCATACGTGCTCCTATAGATACTCCCTTGCCTAAGATATTTTAATGCTTGCTTCAGTATTTAACAGAGATGTCCTGGTCTGAAGATGAGAAAGTCTCAGTTGCTATGGCAACGGCGCTTGGTAGTCAACTTGTTCAGATATAACCTGGACCTACTTAGGAATCTGCAGTCTAAATATAGCCAAGGAGCCCCCTTTTAGTTTTAGGTCATCTTCTACATTTCCAGTGGAAAGGGAGCAAAATACCCAGAATAGAAGGGAAAGTGAAGTAGGGATGAAAAGAATCAGGACTAAAATCTTTTAAGAGATAATCCCCTGTAAAATATTAAACCGGATCAGCATTTCTGTGTTGAGCTCGGTCTGGATGAACTTGGGATTTCATTACCACCATGAAAATGCTGTGCTCATCCCAAATAATTGATGCCCAAATTTACACTGCAGGGCACACATTCAATCTGTTCTTCAGACACATGATCTAAAGCTAGAAGCTGGTAATGCACCACAGTCGTAACATATTCTCAGGACTTTGAGATTCGTGGCTACCACCAATCTCTACCAGATGGTCTACAGTTGTGGGTCCAATTGGTTGCCTCAATTTCTAAGGGAGTTTCCAAGCAGTTTGTCAGGTACCTTAGTTGGGTGACTAGGCAAACTTTAGTACCTGGAGGTGATGAGGGTGCTTGACAAGATTGTTCCTAAGAATTAAAACCAGACTAGAATTTTCTCAGCTGAAGATATGATCCCCAAGTAGATGTGTGTTAATACCTGGCTACTTTTTCCATTTGTCAGGAAGCAATAAGAAGCCTATACTGAAAGCAAAGAAGTCCTCACCGATCTCAAATTTTAAGAAATGCACATGGAAATGTTTCTATTTCAAAAACTGTTATTAAAAGTGTTATAAATACCCAGAGGACTTTGATGAAGAGGAGGATGTCAGGATCCAGAATGGAAAGTGAAAAGGAAATGGCATTGAGGAATTATTTCACATACACACACATCTATGAAACACAAACACATCTGTGAAGTTGGATCTCTCTCTTCTTCTTCCTCTCCATCTCTCTCTTCGTTATTTTGCATTTAGCTTCAGTTTATATTCCTGGTTTCCTCTTCTTTTATCTTGAAGAATAGTTAGAACAATTGTCTCAAAGGTGCTTTCCCAAAAAGCAATTGGCCTTTCTTGGTTTTTTTCCTTGAAAATGTCTGATTTTTTTATTCAAGAAGCTTCTTTAGGAACACAAAAACAGGTGCTTGGTGCTTGCTCTTTCAGTAGACATACGGCTGCAGGAAGAATAAAAAAGTAGGGTTATCCACCAGCCATGGACCATATTAACCACTCTCTGGACAGAACATCTGTCCAGCTTCATTGCCAGATTTGAAGAATGGAATAAAATCTGAAACAACTATTTCTTAAGATGACTTCATTTCTATTTGATCCAGTATGGGAGACAAAAAAAAAAATACAAACTAGTGAGGTGGCTACACTATTTTTAATATCCCTTCCACTATCATTTTTCTTTTTTAACTTGGCTTTTATATCTTTTAATGTTTTTAGCTCTTCTGTATGCTGCCCAAATCGCCTGTTTGTGAGATGGGCAGCTATATAAATTGGTATAAAGACACCAGGCTAGAAAGCGGGTAATCGTGAAGTCAAGTTCTGCCTTAGCCATGAAGGCCAGCTGGGTGAAAATAAAAGGAAGAATGTGTGTTATGTATGTCCAGTGCTTTGAGTTATTTGTAAAAATAATAAAGTCGGGATACAAATAAAAAAGAAGCTGACTGCCTCACCACAATGTTCTTCTCTACGAATCTTGAAGGGCCTTTCCATTTTCTTTATCCTTCAAGCACCCTGTTTGTATATATCCGAGGAATAAGAGTTAGAAAATTCTACAGTGTTCAAATGACAAAAAGCATCCAGCAGTTACAAATAACCTCAGAAGAACTGTTTCTTTAGAATTTCAAAAATACAAGAATGGAAAGCTGAATTATGACAAGCCAAAATGTAGTGGGTTTCAGAAAAGGCTTTAGAGCAGGGGTGTCAAACTGCCGGCCCGCAGACCGGATGCATCATAGGATGCATCATAGCAAAACCGCGCCCACCCTATTGCCAACAATATGTCGTGACATGTCACATAATATTGCGAATTCGAGACCCCTGCTTTAGAGGAACACAGTCAAATGAACCCTGGTAGAATCTGGATACTGATGGTTCTTCTGTTCCTAAAAGAACATGGTCTAAGAACAGTAAAGTACTGTTGGTTTAAAAAAAAAAAAAAAGGAATCATTTTGCATATCCCAGTTTGAAAAAAAAATGTTTTTCCCTTGCAATAGAGCTTTCTGTACTCCATGAAATTAAAAATAAAATGCACATATGTGTTTCCTAATTTACTTTTGCAGGGGAGGGCACTTCTTTAAATAGTGGGCTTTGATATGAAGTAATTTGTTTCAAATGGAGGCATGGAAGTGATGGATTGCCAGTGCCAAGTTCTGAAAGACTGGAAGAATAGACTCCATTCTGTTCAGCACTTAACATTGCCTCGGAGAAGTAAGGAAGGAAGTTAAAAAACTCACTGGACTTATTCTGAAAATGTTATATCCCTGCTTACAATATCACTAGCCTCTTTAATAAAACTACAAATGAATCTTTCCTCCTGTTTTTATCCAGCACCAGAATATGTCTAAATGAAATACCACAAGGTGGCAGCTCTTTCAACTAGTTGCAACCGGTATTAGTCTGAGGATGTGTCCTAATGAACACAGATGCAGTTTTGTTGAGGATCATCAAATTCAATAGAACTTCCATCAACTTTTTTCTTTCTTCTGCTTGCCAGATATATTGAGACCTTGATATATTTGGAAGCTACCAAGTTAGGCAAGACTAAATTAAATGTTTCCCAACATTTCCAAACCATCAGTTTAAACACTGAATCTCTCCTGAAGAGGATTAATTTTTATGTTCCATCAACTTCTTGAGATGTCCACAGATAATTGGCAGCCAGGGATTGAAGATGCTATGAAATTTTTCTGATTGTGCACTATGAGGGTTGGGCGAAGTGGTATCCTAAGTAATGATTCAAATATAGCCTAATTTGGGAGCTCTTGGACGGAAAGTTTGCACTGTCCTTTTAGCTGCTCTGAAACCTAGTCTATCTTACTTTACTTCCTGCTTTCCTTTCCATATCGATAAACTGTTTGAAATTCTCTACCAGCAATCACCTCATCTCTGCATTTAATATTCACCATCTCTGCATTTAAATCATATTCATATTGGCCCTAAAACAGTGGTTCTCAACCTTTTTAATGCCGTGACCCCCAGCCGGTTGTAAGTCGAGGACTACTCAACCGGTCATAAGTCGAGGACTACTCAACTGGTGCAGCACCGTTTGCAGAATGGGACTTTTGGCGGGCTCAGCAGGGCAGAGACAGCCTGGACAATTCCTATTGGCTTTTGAAAGCCAATAGAATTAGACTCTATTCAAGAGAGTCTATTCTATTGGCTTTCAAAAGCCAATAGAATAAAAGGGAGTAGCACAGCTAAGGAAAAGGGGGAAAAATGGCGGACTGCGTTGTTTGGCGACCCCCATGAAATGGTCGTTCGACCCCAAATGGGGTCCCGACCCACAGGTTGAGAACCGCTGTCCTAAAACATATACATGGTCCATAGTAAGCTACTATTTCCAGTGAAGTGGTCTCCAGATAAAACTTAATGCTTTGCCAATGATCCTTTGTTCCTGTAAAAATGCTACCTAGCTCCTCTTTAAATGTGTCACTTGTGGCTACTATCTGGCCTGAAAAATGCTATTTGAAGTAAACAGCTGTTACAGGGAGAAACAGCAGCAGCAAAAGTATTTCTTAGTGAGAAAATGGAATGAGGAGGAAAGGCTTGGTTATAGTCCCATGATGGCGAACCTATGGAACACGTGTTACAGGTGGCACGCAGAGCCCTCTCTGTGGGCACACGCATCGTCGCCCTAGTCCTAGGCCTTCAGCTGGGTTTTATAAAACCTTTTCGCTTTAGGCCTCCGCTGCCATGTGCAAAAAATAAAAGGTTCAATCAATCAATTTCAACTTCTCACGGAAAAAAAAAGATCTCACAAAGTCAGAATTGATTGATTGAACTTTTTAGTCCCACTCAGTCTGCCCTTACCACCACAGCCACACCCACCCAATGGGCCACGCCCACCCAATGGGCCACACCCACCCAATGGGCCACACCCACCCAATGGGCCACGCCCACCTCGCATTCAACAATACATAAGTGGGTTTTGGGTTGCAGTTTGGGCACTCGGTCTCTAAAAGGTTCGCCATCACTGTTACAGTCCCAAATGGCTGTAGGTTATTTCCTTTTTTTCAACTTGCCCCCCCATCTCTTAATATATACCTTAAGTAGCATATAAGTTACCCAGGAATATATTTAGTTAGGCTGCTCTTAAAGAAAAAAATTGGGCAAGTATGAAATAATACTCTTGTTAACATGCTATTGTTCTTTTCTCCCCTTTTGTAACTTAGAATCAGCTTGGTTTGCTTCACTCCCAAAACTGAGTCAAACAATGTTCACTTGGTTGAGTTAGACTTGGACAGCTATTGAAATAGAACGAATGGATGGATGGATGGATGGATAAAATGCACACAATGAGATAAATGAGGCAAAATAATAATTAAAATAAAATACAGAACTCCTACCACGCTTGTAACTGTCCCAATGCATAAGACTTGTTTCTGATGTTCTTTCATTTGCTTCATGTTTTTTGGGGGGGGAGAAGTTATTTTCTTATTGCATACTTATCTATCTTAAAAATTCCAAAAACTGACCCTAGAGTGGAAATCAGATTTGTTTCCTGAATATATTCTTCCCGAAGCCCCCCCAAAAAGGTAAATATCCACCCTTGTCTTTCTTACCTGTGGGCTCTCTTCATGTATGAGGCTTCTTATTCAGTAGTACCAAATCAACATGGCTGTGAAACTTGCTGAGAGGAATTCTGGGAGCTGTAGTTCCAATACAAATTAAAGGCTATATAGGTAGTCCTCGACTTACAACCATAATTGAGCCCAAAATTTCTGTTGTTAACTGAGACACTTGTTAAGTGAGTTTTGCGCCGTTTTACGACTTTCCCTTACTACAGTTAAGTGAATCACTGCAGTTGATAAGTTAGTAACCTGGTTGTTAAGTGAATCTGGCTTCCTCGTTGACTTTGCTTATCAGAAGTTTGCAAAAGGGGATCACATGTCCCTGGAACACTGCAACCGTCATAAATACGAGTCAGTAGCCAAGCGTCTGGATTTTGATCATATGATCATGGGGATGCTGCAAAGATCGTAACTATGAAAAACGATCACAAATCACATTTTTCAGTGCTGGTTATAACTTTGAATGGTCACTAAATGAACTGTTGTAAGTCGGAGACTTCCTGTAATTGAAAAGCTTACGTAGCTAGCTAAGGTCAGGGGAATTTAGCTCTGGCCTTGAAAAGGAAGTGGGGAAGAGGAATGGAAAGATTACTTAGCCCTGGGAAAGTAGAAAGCAACAGAAAGAGAATAGCACTGCCTTTTTGTTTTTATTTAATTTGGGATTAGAAGGTCAATGACTCCATACAATTCTGAGCAGTGTGCAACACTACACAGAGAGGAGGCATTGCAACAGAAAAGGTCTGCTTTCTAGAGCTGACAGACCACATTGTACAAGTGAAGGAACCAACAAAAGGCCCATCCTGCCATACTGCATAGGAATGGCACAAATTATCAGAGTTACATGGTCCCTGAAATGACCAGGATCTAGGCTTTTAAAAGTTTTATAAATGATAACTAACACCTGGAACTGTAATTGACTGGCAATCAATGCAGCTTGCGAGACAATGTTGTCACAAGGCATTGATAGCATTGCTTGGGTAGCCCAGGGATGAGTCTTATTGTTCAGTATCATCAGCAGGTAGATAGTACCAGACTCCAGACCGATGGAAGTTCTCACCCAGTGGTTTCAGATAGATGCAAACAGAAAGGATGAGAGTGTTGAGCTCTGAAGTACTCTAAAAATGGGGGTGGGGGTTATGGGCTTGAACTCTCCCTTCTTTCCACACTGACTGGAGCCAACCCACATGAAAAGGAGAACCAGTGCAATACAATGCCCCCCCCTCCCAATCCCATAATAATCTGTAATGGTATCAAAAACTGCTGAGAAATCAAGGAGAACCAGGATGAACACACCACCCCTGTGCTAGCTCCACAAGAAGTCATCCTCAAAGGTGATCAGTGTTATCTTCATACTATGTCTTGGTCTGAACCTTAACCAAAATTGGTCTAGATCAGGGGTAGGCGACCTTGGCTCTTTTATGTCTTGTGGACTTCAACTCCCAGAATTCCTGAGCCAGCATGGTTGGCTCAGGAATTCTGGGAGTTGAAGTCCACGAGTTATAAAAGAGCCAAGGTTGCCTACCCTTGGTCTAGATAAACCACCTTCTCTTAACAAAGGAACACTGGGGATTAAAGCTACCCAGAATTGTTGGGTCCAGCAATAGCTTCCTGAGAAGGGATGCACCCCCACCTCCTTTAAGGCCAGTAAAACCAGTCCCTCCCTCAAAGAAGTTACCTCACAATATGGACCCAAGCACAAAACACCTCTCAAGGAGACTTAACAAGCCAAGAAGAATATGGATTTAATAATGGCCAGGTCCATAATCTGAAGGACCCTGTTCATTGCCTTGGGAGTCATAGGTTTAATCATTCCATCACAAGACCAAGCCTCAGGCCCCTCGGCCATACTTGCCACATCAAGAGTCCAACTGGAAGTAGATTAGAGAGACTTTATCTTCCAGATAGCGGCCTTATCTGCTGGATTTCCCCCCAGTATCTGAT